TTACTCTCCATAAAGGATGGGAGAACCTATGTGGTGACAGCTATACAAAGTCTTCTCCTACTGGAGGAATGAGCCCCTGGCCTTCATGTCCCCACGAGGGCCCCCCACTGCCAATGATCCCAGGGTAAAAACACCACCACTCTTTCAAAGAGGCCTCACTCTCATGGGGAACTTCCGGCCCCTCCCCACATTCCACAAACTGGGGACCTCCTGCCCAACAGGCTTACTGCAGGATGAATGGGAGGCCGAGGTCCCAGGGTCAGTTTCCTGATGAATCATGTCCTTCTGGGCCCACCCATCACCCTCCAGCTACCCCAGTTTCCTTCCAGCTATTCTTGGGTGTTACATTTCTCAGACCAGAACACAGGGTCTTTGCACAGGCTGTTTCCTATATTTAGACTGTTTCCACTTTCCTCTTTATCCAGTTAACCTGAGATCTCTGATCAACCATTTCTTCTACAGAGAAGCTGTCCCTGCTCCGCTGCCAATTCAGACACCCCTGTTAAACACTCCCATAGTCTCATGGGCTTGGTAAAGCAGAGGGTCAGTGAAAGAGGAAGACCCTCAACGAGATGGATTGACACAGTGGCTGCAACAATGGGCTCAAGCATAACAACGATTGTGAGCATGGCGCAGGACCGGGCAGTGTTTCGTTCTGTGGAGTATAGGGTCGCTGTGAGTCCAAACCAACTTGACGGCACCTAACAACAACAACATAGTCTCATGGAACATTCCATCAAGCCACTTATCTCTATTAGTGTACATTCGTGTATATAACTGTGAATGTGTGTCTCCCCCACTGGCTGTAAATGCCACAGGGCAGGAACCACACCTGGCTGTGCTCTCCGGTGTGTCTCTGGCGCCTAGAACAGATCCAGCACATAGCAGGCCCTCAGTCAGTACATTTTATTGACAGAACGAACAGTTAATCCGTCCAGGAATACGGTTATCCCAGTTTTCTTGGAGAGGTCTGTAGGATTCCGAAGGCTCTGGGGGAAGCAATACAAACTGTAACAAGAGGTAATGAGATAAAGCACGTTACAGGCTCAGTACAGGCTCAGCAACATTGCAAGATCTTAGTAAATGGTAGTCATTCGGCCATTGTTGTTGTTAGCATTATTGTTTTTACTATGACTTCTAAACTTAAAGGGAAGAGTCTGCACCAAGAGAAAGAAGACAGAGTTGAGAGGCTGGGCTTTGTTCCCTCTACTCCCCTCTACCACAACCACCCTGCATCACTAAAGTTAAAACCTGCCAAAACCCAAAACCAGTTGCCATCAAGTCAATTCCGCCTTAAGGCAACCTCATATGTGCCAGAGTAGAACTGCTCCATAGGATTTTCAACAGCTGTTTTCAGAAGTAGATCACCAGGCCTTTCTTCCGAGGCACTTCTGGGTCGACTTGAACCTCCAACCTTTCAGTTGGCAGCCAAGAGCGTTACCAGTCTGCACCACTCAGGGATTCCAAAACCTGCCAAGTGGGGGCAATACTTCCATTGTAATGCTGGGGGCCCTGGTCCAGCCACATCTGTGACCTAGAGTGGGTAAGCGCCTTGAGATCCTCAGAGAGCAGCTGCTTCCTCTGTGGGTAAGAGGGAAGAAGGGAGGGGCCTGTGTTTATAGGCTCCTCCTTTGGGCAAGGCTTCCTGCTAAGGGCTTTACGCATTTCATTTCCTGTTCATCCATCCACAACCCTGAAAGGCAAGTCTAATTATACTCATTTTACGGATGAAGAAGCTGGGCTCAGAGGGGTGACGGCACCTGCCAAGACCACACAGCTCCAAAGGGGCAGAGCTGGCCCTCAGGTCTGGTGTTTCTGATGCCAGAGACCTTGTGCTTTCTACCCCATTGCACCTTTGGTGTGAACGTGAACTTGGTAAAACCAACATCTCCCAAATGGCGAAACTCCTTCCTATCCTCCAAGTCCTAACATCCTTCCCCCTCACCCCCCTCGCCCTCTACACCCTGCCCCTCCTCCTTCTCACTCCCCTCTCTCTCCACCCCCCTCCACCCCCCTCCTACTTCAAAACTCAGCCAGGAGCACCTTTGCCTGGAAGCCTGCCTGGGTTTCCCTGCCTGGATCCAGCCCTATGGTCCTCAGTTTTCTCAGGTACGAACCAGCAGACCAGGGCTCCAAATGGGTCACAAAATGGAACTTCTCAGAAACCTGGCCCATCCTGGGAAACACCCCTTAAGCCCTGCAGGAAGGGCTGTGGGCCAAAGCTCCCCAGGAGTCAAAGCTAATTTTTGGTTGTTTGAGAGGCAGCTCCTCACCCCAGGCCAGAAGCCAGGCGCTGCCAGGAGGTACCCCCGTTAAAATCAAAAGGAAGCGGTGAGCAGAGGGAGCCCCTCGGAAGAGCCTGTGACTCAGGCTGCTGGGTGACCCTGGGCAAGTGGACTCACCTCCCTGGACTCCCCGCCCCAAGTCCTCTCTAAAGTGGGGTGAACAGAGCCCAGGATGAAGAGAAACCCAGCAGGAATTAAAGCCGGAAGTGGGAGGGACAGGAGGCAGGGCTCTGCCAAATGTATGTCAGTGTTTATTGGGCTTCTTTCGTGTCAAAAACCATTAATCCCAATCACTGCCAAGGCCGCCCTGCCACTCAGCCTCCCCTCCCCATTCCAGACGAAGCTTGTCCAGGGACTTCATCCTCTGGCTGGGGTGAGGTCAGGGAATTGGGTCGGGGTCCTTCCTGACTGCGGTGTGAGAGCCTTCTGCGCAGGTCAGTTTCCTCCCCTGAAAGGTGGCCAGCGGCAGGCCTGGAGTCAGCTCCTGCAGGGGGCGCTGTTTAGGCTGGCAGTCCAGCTCAGGTCTGCATCACGACTTTTGTGGGCGCCGCGGGACCTTCTGCATAAAAAAAATATTAAAAACTATATTTTTAAATGACTGCATTGGTACAAAGATGGATATTAATCCATGGATTATATTCATTCTTCTCTTCTGATTTTAAAAGAAATTCAAACATTTTGGATTATATTCTGATTTTAAAAGAATTGAAAACATTTGAGGGGTTCTGAAAATATCAGGAGTCCCTGGGTGGTGCAATCCGTTAAGCACTAACCAAAAGGTTGGTTTGAACCCACCCAGAGGCACCTCGGAAGACAGGCCTGGCAATCTGCTTCCAAAAGGTCACAGCCTTGAAAACCCTATGGAGCAATTCTACCCTGCACACGTGGGGTTGTCACGAGTCAGAATCGACTTGACAGCAACTATTTTTGTTGTTGTTGTTTTTGGAAGTATCATGGGCCCTAGGTATGGGGCCAGCAGTGCCTGATCGGAGTCGGCCCTGGTTAAGCTCTTCAGACTGCCTGAGCTCAAATTCTGACTCACCATTTACTTAGGCGTGTGCCTCAGTTTCCTCATCTGTAAAAAATGGGGGGTGACCATAGCACCCGCACGATGGGACTGTTTGAAGGTTCATTGAAGTATTTCTTGTGAAGGGCTTGGTACAGTGCCCAGCTCACAGTGGGTACTCAGTGAGAGCTAGTTGCTTATTGCACTTGAGCGTCCCATTCTTCCATGAAGGAGGCATATCCTCATGATACAGACAGGAAAACTGAGCGAGGGAAAGGATCTGCCCAAGACCACATCATAAGTGGTGGAACCAGGACTCCAAGGCCACAAGTCAGGCGGCTCCCAGGTCCTGAAAGTTGATGGAAGTGGATGGTCAAGTTATCCCAGTCACAGAACAGGAACCAGGAGGGCAGGGGGAAGAGGGAGTCACAGCCCAGGTCAGGAGGGTCTGCCTGGTGGGGGAATCAAGGGAGGGGGCACCTGCCAGCAAACGAGGTTACCAGAGGCATAGCGAGAGTAACGAGCACCCACGGGCAATCTCTAAATGTGCGTCCCCCCTCAGCGAGGGGGTGGTGATTTGCCGACCTGCCTCTTCTGGCGCCCCCTTGGACTTGCGCCTGGAGTCAAATGCCCCCTCTAACCTCCCCCGCCCCGTCCTCGTTACACCTCTGGAGGTCACTGCGAGTCCGTGGCCAGGGGGGCTTTGGCATTTCTGATCACAACAGGGCCAGGCCCGGCATAGAAGAGAGGGGGCTCCTGGGTGCTGGCCTCCTTCCCACTGGCCTCCAACCTTCTCTGAAAACTGGCCTCGATGTTCTGACCTGACCAGGGGTACAGCAGCCCCAAGGATGACATCAAAAGGACCAAGTTTCCAGCACTGCTGGAGTGTGGGTTTTCCAGCTGACAGACAGAGCCCGTTTCTACAGCAGCCACACCGCACTGCACAGGGATCTGGGGAAACAGAAGTAACATCTGGGAGCATTTTCACTGCTTGCCAAAGAAGCAGAAGCCTGCCTGGGAAAGAACAATGAAGACATCCGAGCCCAGCTGGCTAACCTCCCAGCTGCAGCCTATATGTTTTCGGACAAATGGCCCTCCTGGGGCCCCGGGGCCTGCTAAGTGTCAAGCAGCTCAGCATGTCTGTGCTCTCCCTTTGGGTAATGTGCTCTGTGTGTGGGGAGGGGCGAGCTGGGGAGCAGCAGGGAGGGGAGGGCATGTTGATGTTGTAGCTTGTGTCATGGAAAGATGACAGACTTGGCCCTTGGCACTTCCATGCCATGTGAACTTAAACCTCTTAGCCTGTCTGGGCCTCAGTTGCTATAGCAGTAAAATGAGGCTGAGGAAAAAAATCGGAAGAATGCAAAGCATCCGGAACAGCACCTGGCTCACAGATTTTGGGGGAAGGGAAGTAGATGGGAAGGGCAGTGAAAAGAAAGCGAGCCACAGAATTGCCACCCTCACAGAAAAAAAAAAAAACAACACTCCCTGGAAGCAGAGCTCACAGGCCCCAGGCTGGCCCCGCCCCCTGGGGACTTGGCCAAAGTCCTGGAAGTATCATTGCATCACTGGGCATTTGGGAGTTAATGATGGGGAGTGGACGGACCAGGTATTTAACCAACTGGGGAGGTGCCCTGAGATCAGAGGTGCCCCTGCTCGCTACCTTCTTCTCTGCAGCCCAGCTCCTGGCCCCTGCTCACCTCTTCCCCAGGATGAAGCCGCCCCCTGTTCTGATCTGCCTTTGCCTCCTGGGTAAGTGACCCTTGTGACCTTTACCCTCCCCCACCCCATCCCTGGATGCACTTGAGCCCACCCCAGCCAGGCTTCTGGGGAGGGCATGGCAGGTACCCAAAGCTGCAGGCCACCCCTCCAGCCACCAGGGTCATCCTGAGGTCCTTCTGCCTGAGCCAGCACTGCCCGGGGGGTAGAGGGTGAGGAGAGAGGGGCAAGCTGGGTGAGCTGGGGGACATTTTTGGCTCACACCTGCTGCATCAGGAGAGGAGGAGTCCAGGAGGTCAAGGTGGTTAGGAACATGTCCAGGCTGTCTGATGAGATTTGGGGAGACAGATCCTTCTGAGGGAGATGAGGCTGACCCCTGAGGGACGATCAGGAGGGGTGGGCGAGGTGATGTTCTGGGAGATGGTGGGGAGACCGGATGTGCTGACATGATGGGCGAGGACTAGGGATTAGGGCACCATGGGTGGTGTTTTTGTTGCTTTTGGGAGTGGGCTGCCTTGGGGAGGTGAGACCGAAAAAAAAAAAAACCGACCCATTGCCGTCAAGTCGATTCTGACTCAGCAACTGGATATCTGGAGAGATGCCTGGAATGAGATTCGAGAGGAAATTGGCTGCAGAGGGTGGGGCCCTGGGTGGACGCTTACTGGTGCCAAGGGTCTGGTGGTCCCCGCTCTCACTCCCTGCAGTGGCCCTGGCCAGCGGGAACCTGGTGCAGTTTGGGGTGATGATTGAGAGGATGACGGGGAAGCCAGCGCTGCAGTACAACTACGGCTGCCACTGTGGCATCGGCGGCTCCCGCGGGCCTGTGGACCAGACTGACTGGTGACGGGGGCGGCCCAGCAGGGGGACCTCTCTGGGGAGGGAGGAGCCGGGGGCCTCTGGGGACAGCCACAAGTGGGTGCTGGCTTCCTCAGGCCTGGAAGCTCCCTGGAGCCCCTGGTTCCCTGGGCAGCCCCTTGCCCTCCCCCATGGCTTACAGGCCTCTCAGGCTGACGGTGACCCTACAGGTGCTGCCATGCCCACGACTGTTGCTACGGGCGCCTGGAGAAGCTGGGCTGTGAACCCAAACTGGAAAAGTATCTGTTCTCCACCAGCAGGCACAGCATCTTCTGTGGTAGGTGAACAGCCCTGGAGTAGCCCCTGTCCCACAAGTGTCCACCTGGGACACCTAGGAGACAGCTCAGACAGGAAGTCCCTCCTGATGGTGACCCTCAGGCCTCAGGAGGGCCAGTGCTGGGCTGGAGGGGGGGCTCTCCCTTGTCATGTGAGTGTGGGGAGGCCTGTGCACCTGTCGAGAAGCTCACCTGGCCCCCAGGTGCTTCCTCCCACCCTGCTCCAGCCTCTAGAGAGAGGAGCAGAGGGGCTGAGCTGGGCCAGGCCCAGAGGAGCTGAGCTCACATACCCCTCCCCAGGGCCACGTAGGAACTGCAGGGGACGTCCCAGGACACGGCCTCAAGGACTGGGTCCAGGCAGAGAGCTGGAGCTTCCCCAGGCTGGTTTGCTCCGTTGGATACATTAACTCTCAGTAGTGAAGCAGCCTTAACCAAAGGAGAACGTGGATGGCTCCATACAGCCCAGCCCCACAGAGAGAGCCTGGTTCAGAGAACCAAGCCTTCTTTCTGTGGCAAAGCCAGGAGCAGCCTACAGGGAGGGCAAGGCCACGAGCATGGGGCACAGCGGCATTCAGAGAGGCTCAGATCTCTAAGGTCTGTCCTGTGGGAGGGCAGACGTGGCTGCAGAGGGCAGAGCCAGGACTGGAGACACTGGAGACACTGGAGACAGGTTTGGCTCAGTTTCTTGCTCCTGGAACATCCACTCAGCAGGGCAGCTTTGTCAGGTAATGAGAGCCCTGTCACCAGGGTTCATGCAATGCCAGATGGCCCCTGTTAGGGACGGCATTGAGAGAGTGAGAGGAGGGGATGCTGGAGTCTTCTTGGGGCTTCACCTTTTACCTCTGTGTGACTTTGGGCAAGTAACCTAAGCAACTGCTTCCTCATCTATAAAACGAAGATAACCACACCTGTTTCCCCAGCTTAGTCTGTGCCCTGGTGAGAACCCCCAAAAGAGGTGGACTAGCAGGACTGTTAAGCCCCTTCCAGCCCTGAGTTTTACTCAAATAGCAGGCGTAGGCAAGACACTGGCTGGGAAGGGAAACTGACCTTTGAGGGGGAAATGAGGAGCCCCGCAAATTTCTGAGCTGTGCCTGTGTTCAGGGGACAAAAGGAGCCCCAGGCACTGGGGGCAAACAGAGGCAGCTGCCCAGGGAGAAGAGGAGGAGTCTGCTGGGCCCTTGGTGCCTGGAGAGCTGACCCCAGGTCAGGGTGGAAGTCTGATTCCCACAGCAGAGCAATGGGCTCTGTCCACTCTAAATGAGGACGGGCAGAGGGCCCCAGGAGACCACAAGCTTTGGTCTCAATGGCCTCCAGTCTGGGCACAGGCTGCTCTGGGGCATGCCTTGGCCATCTGGAACTGAGTTGCTGTTATTTTGCAGCTGTCCCTCTGCTTGATGGCTGCAGTCCCACCATCAGCAATGCATTACATGCAGAGGGGTTGCCTAAAAGCCCTGTGGGCTGGGAGCAGTGAGAGTCAGAGACCCAGTTGGTTCCCTTGGGGCAGGAGAGCATAACGGACTTGGAGGGGAAGGAGGGACAGCTAGGACTAACTTCCAGCCTCCCCCGTGCATGAGCCCAGCAGGCCCCTGTGCCCTGCCCCTGAAGCATCCCCCAGGAGAGTGGGCTTCCACCAAGAATGGGGCTGAGAATGAGGGCCCAGGGGCAGCCAGCCACTATCACATCCATTTCTGAGAGCAAGGAGTCCTCAAGCCTCCTCGTCTCTGACTCACCATGTCCCATCCAGCCGGCAGAACCGCCTGCCAGCGGCTGACCTGCACGTGTGACAAGAGGGCCGCACTCTGCTTTCGCCACAACCTGGACACCTACAACCACAAATACGCCCATTACTCCAAAAAGCTGTGCACTGGACCTACCCCGCCCTGCTAAGTCTTGGCAGGGCCTCCTCCCTGGGGCCCTCGGAGAGCCCCTCACGGCTGTGATAGCCCCAGGCCTGGGGAACATCAACACCAAAGGCAAAACACAATCTTGCTTCCTCCCCTTCTGAAAAATTTCTTTCCTGGAAACCCATCCCTCCCCGGAGGCTCCCAGACTGTGGCCTGGAGCACCACTAGCCTTCCGGTCACATCTTCCCCTTAGGAACAGCCATGGGATCCTTCAGCATCCAGAAGATTCCATGACCCACCTCTAGGATCCCAGTTCCCTCTTCTGAATATGTGAATAATGTTTCCCTATAATTCTAACATTCCTCGACTCTCAGATTCCATTGTTTAGGATTTAGTCTACAGTTTCATTCATTCATTCATTTTTGAGCATATACTATGTGCCAGCAGTGTCTAAGCACTGAGTGGGCTACAGTGGAAACAAACCAGACATGAATGCCCCTTGCTGTGCGGTGCCAACATTGTGTCCTTCTAATTGTCCATTATAGTAAGTTTTGGTGATTCTAACATTCTACAATCTTATCCAAGAAAAATGGCAATATTTCTGGTCATATGGCATAATATGAAAAGTACAAAAAAATACCAACTTAAAAATATTGTTCCCACTATGCCATTGGGCCTTAAATCCCCACCATTAGCAATTCAAAGACTGCTCAAGAGTAAAAAGAGGCTCTGGGATGATCTCACTCAAACCCCTCCTTGGACAGACAGACGAGGCCAGAGAGGGGAAGTTCTTACCTGAGTGGATACCCTGACTCCCAGGCTACTCTCTTCATTTCTTCATAAGTCATTCTCAGCCATGGGCACTCTGGTATGGCCATATTAACCAGATTGACTAGCCGCCATCTTGGAAAGAGCACAGTGTCTGGGGGAGGTCAGCTGTGGGGAGCTCCGGCCAAGGTCGGGCTCCTGGTGAAGGGAGGGAGGAGAGAGAGCTTCAACATCATCAGGCCCACGCCAGCCATCTGACTCCTATGCCATGAAGACTTTTTTGAACCAAAGGATCCCACCAGATGGAATGCAGTCTACTCTGGAAGCAATATATTTCAGCAGATTTTACGCCTAAATATAGATATCATATCTTCCCTGTACAGTCTTACAGGATTGTCTTTCCCATGTGAAAATGCATTGCACAGGCACGGCGCACAGCAGAGATTGAATAGATGTCCACTCCCTTCATCCCTTCCATGGTGTATGTGCAGCTTTCAGGGCTTTGAGGGAAGAAATGGGTGGATGAAACCAAAGGGATGAGCTGTCATAAACTGTAAAAAGTGAAGTTCTGTGCTAGCAAAAAAAACAAAGGGGGCAGGAATGTGAGCTTTGCTGTTGTAACTGACTCAAATTCTTGTTAAAGAATGAGCATGACTTCAGAACACCATGTCTTAAAGTAAAAATGGGTTGTGGGGAGCAGGGAGCTTGCTCTTCATTTGTTGGAAAAAATGGTCCTGAGGCGCCCTCTGGTGTCCATTTTATTCAGGCTATTACCAATAGACCAGTTGCCATGGAGTCTGTTCTAGCTATTGTCAAACTCCACGTTATGTCAGAGTAGACTGTCCTCCATAGGGTTTCAATCAATGATCTTTTGGAAGTACATCACCAGGCCTTTCTTCCAAGGCACCTCTGGATGAACTCAACTTTCCAGCCTTTCAATTAGCAGCCAAGCATGTTAACCTTTTGCACCACCCAAGAACCTGAACATGGCTTAAACCTGGATTTTCTTTCATCAGGTGGGAAAGTGATTCTGGGACAGTAAGATTAGTCCCTTCTCACTTTCAATAATAAATACGCTGATAAATTACCAAATAAAACCTTACAACCATCTTAAAATGATGGTGCTACTGCAGAACGAGGAAACACAGGAAGAACGAGCTGTCTTGGACAAGATGAAGAGAAGTTATGTTCTGGGCAGGATGAACTCAAGATAACGACGGGATGAGTAACTGGTGATCTTGAAGTTGCATAACCGTCTGACAAAGTAAACATTGGAACCTAAAGAACAAGAGCACAGCGTACCTGTTGTGTGATCCACCCTCACTAGGTTGTGAGCTTCTTGACCGCAGACCAGGTCTTGCCCTTTGTTTTCCCTGTACTTAACACATCTGATGAATAAATAAATAGTTCTGTTTAAATTCCATTTGTGTGTGTGTGTGTGTGTGCACGCACATGTGAATGCACCCTTGTGTGTATAGTACAAACACTTGATTTCAAGCTGCAGACTTAGGAAGAGGACCGAACCCCTCCCCCCACAAAAAAACAAAAACAAAAAAACAAAGAACCCTGAATTTGAACTCAGAGGTTCCAGGTATAGACCTTTGCTCTGCCACTTGGCAGCAGTGGGTCTATTCTCGAGCCTCATGCTCACAGTGTGGGGCATGCAGAGCAGCATCAGCAGCCATCAGGGATCTTGCTGAAAATGCAGAATCTTGAACCCCACCCTAGACTTGCTGAATTAGAATCTTTGTTAACAAGAGCTCCAGGGGATTTCTGTGCACGTTACACTCTGAGAAGCTGTAATATATGGCAATAAAATAGCTTCTACATTTGTAAGACAGAACAGTGACAGTTACCTTGCAGTTTGGTTTTTGCAAGGTTTAAATATGTTAGCATGTGTGAAAGTACACAAAATAATGCCTAGCATATAATAAGCATTCATGTTCAATGAATGATTGGGTAATAAGAAGAAGAAACAGCTGTTGTCAAGTCAACTCCAACTCATGGGATTCCATGTGTGTCACGGAACTGTGCTCCATAAGGTTTTCAATGACTGATTTTTCTGAAGTAGATTGTCAGACCTTTCTTCCAGGGCACTTGAGTCCACTTGGGTGGACTTAAACCATCAACCTTTAGATCAGTAGCCAAGCACTTAACCATTTGCTATACCAGAGATTCTATAATAACAATAGCTAACATTTATTAAGTGCTTGGCAATTACCAGGCACTGTTCTAAGTGCTTTATGTGTTATTAACCCATGAAGTGAATGAACTAATGAATGAATGAATGAGGCAAGGAGACTACGTCATGGCTGGAGGGGGACTTTGTTACCTAAATATTTCATAGCTTGACTCTCCCAATTTTGATGACAGGATTTCAGATTGTTTTCGCTTTTGTTCCCACTTAGCATCTAACAAAAGCTACGCATGAAGTGTTCAATTACAACTTGCTGAATAAGTGATTAGAAGTCACATTGGAATTCCAGAGTTGGCTGGAGCCCGATTTTGATTTCATGGACATTCCTCTGCTTCTTTGGGGTTCTTTGCAGTATCACCACCCGAGAACTGAGTGCTTTAATAAGGTGCATCCTTTCCTTCAATAAGTGTTTATACTAGCTATGTTCCTGGCCCTTTGCTGGATGCTGGAGATAGAGATGAATCAGACATGGTCAACTGGCAGACAGACATCACCAATTATTCTATAACAGTAAGTGTTATAACTGAGCTAGAAACGCAGTATCAGGACCAGTGTTTCCTCAAGCCCTCCATCCTCCATCCTGTCTCCCTCCTGTCCACCCAGGCCAGCTTCATCTTCCCATGGCTTGATTTCCATCATGTGACTCCTCTGCCCTGGCATCTCAGTGGCTCGCCATTGTCCACCAACAACCCCTGGTACTCAAGATGGTATCTGCTTGTCCAGCCTCTTATCCAGCCATATCTACTCCTCTATCTCTTCATCATCCCTAGGGCATGCCCACTTCTTCCCTGCCTTCACACCTTTGCCCAGTAGCTTCCCTCAACCTAAAAGCTTTCCTTGTTCACAGGCTCATCACCATGTTAGAATCCACAAACTTTAAGGCACACCTCAAATGCCCCCCTTTTCCATGATGCTTTTCCAGCTGGAGCAAATTTTGTCCTTTGAACTGCCAAGCAGTGCTTTCCCAGCACTGCTTACACTACAGTTATTTGGGTTTTCGTATATGGCCGAGGCAGACTGCCCTGGGTTCAAATCCTGCCTCTGCTACCAATTCGTGATCTTGGGCCAGTTATTTATTCCCTTGGAAATGGGGGTTGCCATGAGTTGGAGTCAACTCGATGGCAACTGGTAAAATGGGGATAGAACCTTCAGCCCAGAGTGGTTTTAAGGTTTCAATGAGACAGTGTCTTGTTCAAAGTGCTTGGGGCATTGTAGATGCTCTAGCTGTGCTAGGTCACCTTATATATTTTTGCCTCCTCTATTGCATCCATCACATAAGTACCAAGTAAATATTTGTCCAATTGAATCCATGGGTACATGACAATGGAACTATTTTAGGAAAGTGGCATCACAGATATGATAAATACTACACTGATGTATTTGAATAGTCCCTTGGCTCACTACCATGTGAGTGCTCCTCACTTAAAAGGATGTGTGTTTGAGAAGCATTAACCTTCAGTGCCCCCGAGCTGATCTCACATAGTAAAAATGGCTGGACAGACTGTGCAGCAGCCTTCCTGGAGGGCTGCTACCTGTCATGTGCTTCAAGGTCAGCATGCACACACAGTCCAACTCCAGACGCTGTAAAGCGCGGTCAGGCTGGACTAAGTACAGTATGCCTGATCTTTGGAACTCACTCAGCAAGTATGGCATTACTCTTCCAGTTGCAAAGGCACATGAGAAGTATTTGAAGTTCCCAGTCTTTCTCCAGACCAACTGTGTATCCTTAATAAATTCTCTAGGAGTTCCTGGGTGGCGCAAATGGTTAAGCACTGGGCTAGCAGCCGAAAGGTTGGCAGTTCAAACCCACCTATACGTGCCTTGGAAGACAGGACTGGCAATCTGCCTCTGAAGGGTCACAGCCTTGAAAACCTATGCAGCAGTTATACTTTGCGCACATGGGGCTGCCATGAATCTGAATTGACTCAATGGCAACCAACAATAAACTCTCTACTTAACACCTGGGGTGCCCCAGCTCCAGGCTTTTGCTTATGCTCGCCCTTCAAAATGACTTTGCTCCCTATTTCCACTTGGTCCGCATCCTTTCTTCCAAGTCTAGTCCAAATGTTGCTTTCCCCAACAAGCCTTCCTTGGT